CAGGCCGCGGGGCAGAACCGAGGGGGCCAGGTCCGCCGCGCCTCCACCGTGGCAACGGGCACCGGGGGCAGCAGCAGCCACAGCAGGAGGAGCTGTCCGAGCCCAGCCGGTCCAAGCCGAGGTCTAGTCATCCTGCTCCCTTCTTCCTCCCACTTTTCCAATGACCTGACTCTGGACCCGCAACCACTTTTAAACGAGCAACACTTTCCCGGCTAGGGTGCCACCTCCAGCAGTCCCAGTCTTTAAGGGGGCAGAGCCTGGCAGACCTCTCCACATACGCACCCGAACAGCTTCCCACCTCCCTCCCCGAGGGCCACATCCACCCGCAGCGAGGGCCCGAGCCCTGCCCTGGGCAGGGACCTACTTTGTGAAATCCATAAAACCAACAGGGGCAGACTGACAAGAGCGATCACCCACCCACGGTCGGCGTTAGGAAAACACACCGTATTTCAGTATTTCACGTGGTTTTATTACAAAACAAGCAACAAAACAGTTTTAGAAAATTATCTTTTGCTACATAACAATTCAGAGATCACATAAAATGAGAAGCACGACAGTTCCCATGCACTCAGCTCAGTGGCTACAGAGAGAGCATTTCACAGCTGAAACATACTGGTTCAAAACACAAAGTCATGCACCTTCCTAGGCAGTGGGGAAAGGGACTCTACCTAACCTGGGAGGAGTGACTAGCAGGCAACACAGAGAGAAAAGGGAATAAGGGGAAACGTGATGTCGGTCAAAAAATTTAATAATCCTGTCCATTTCCAACACGTTCAAAGTTTATAAATGAAGCTGATTTGGGAAACTCCATTTCCAAAACATTGTTACCTCCATATGCCTGTTTAGCAGGTTCACAGTGAAAATGAACATCAAATGCCACTGCTCCACTGCTGAACCTGCTATTTATTTATTGGGTCCTTTTAGCCTATGTCAGAGCAGTTATACTCAGGAAGGGGGGGGGAAAGCTTTTGCTTCAAGTGAGCTACAAAGATGGACCTTAAATCTACTCTTTCTCATGGGAATCTTCCAGCATTCTACCCAGAAACAGATGTGTAATTCCAACATTTTGACCTGAGGTCACTGCTCGATGTGTTTATGATGTCCTAGAGTATGCAACAGGCCCGACTATGTTTACCAACCTTCAACGACTTGAGAGAGCAAATCCATAAGCTTTCAATAAGAGTGGATGGTAAATAGTTCAGCTATAGGGAAGACCACCTGAAATACTGTTACATATAGTGGGTCAAGACCCCGTCCAAAGTCTTATAAAAACAGCACAACTCAGAGGTTTTTATGCCACAAAGAAAATGCAGTACCATTTTGAGTTCCTTTTATTTTTTTAAACCTAGATTTATTCCAGAGCTTATGCACTAAACTACTAACCTATAGCGCATCCCCACCCTACTTTTTCCACTTGGTTCCATTTTATACATTTAAAACCAAATGCTATAGTCGTACATGCACCATCTTTGGCTCACATATGTAGTGACATCAAAAGGCTGTGATGTGACATTGGCCAGAAGGTAAGAAATATGGTCACAAAAGGAATTCTGAAATAAGGTTTGGGAATGAGAATGCTTTCAGGCTTCATTGAAGATAATTATATTTATCTGGTGTTGGAACTACATTAACAATGCTCTAACTTGGAATTCCCAAGTAATTGCCAACTACAGTCCTTGTTTTCCCCCATCATAATGATACAATTTGGATTTATAAGTATGTTTAATTTAACACATTCTCAAAATAGACCATACTGAATAAGAAACATATCAGCTTATTACAATGGCCAATTAATGTAGCAGTAGTAATCTAGCAGAGAGTTTAATTTTAAAAAGAGAGAGACAAATGGGTAGATTTTTATAATTTAAACACCAAAAGATGGCAACTTTCCATGAGTTAGGGAATGTTTAAAGAGATCTCAAAAGTCCCTAATTTATTTTCATTAATTCAATATCACTTATTGTGTACTTTCTTTGACCTAGCCAAATAATTTTCTTAGGGAAAACTGGAAGATGAAACCAGAGACAGAGAGCTTTAAGAATTTGGAATGACTTCTTGAAAGCAGGCTACTTGAAGTATGTTGTAACCTCGACCACTCACAAATAAATAATTCCCAAACCAAGTCATTTTTTAATTTAACGATGTAATTAATTGATCTAGCTAATAAAAGTGGGACCCTAATAAGGTCCTGGTAGCAGTTCACCATATAAGTTGGATAGACAAATCCTCCCAGGGACCCTAGAAATAGTCTCCTTTTGCCAAATGGAAGAAGGTACATCCTGAAATTTGACTGGGGAATGCAACCTATGCTCCTCTCCCTGGGACATCTCTAGTCAGCGATGCATAGCCTCTAAATCAGTGTTTCTATGCAGTTTCTATTTTATTAAAAATATAAATATCTGTCAAGATTATCTTTGTATCTCTCTGCTCTTAAGTACATGGAACCCTATCAGATTACAAGGCGGGATCATGCAAGTACATAAGGCTTCATTCAAAGGACAGCACAAAGAACAGAAAGAAAGCGAGTCTGCCAGGGTATACGATGTTACAGCACTTAAACTTAGACTACTATTGGCCCACTGAGAAAGAGCTGTGAGGCAAGGGTTCAAGAAAATCTGTCTTTGCTAAAACAGACCTTTCCTTCTGTCTGGAAAACATGGATCAGAAAAACTTAGCTGGATGAACTCTAATCCATCTCTTCCCAGTACCTGCTTCAAAGCAAACCTAAAACTCTAAAACAGAGGTCTGATCTATCACACAAGTGAATTATCATACAAGTATCAATCCCCCAAACATTCAAACTAATACCATATCAAGGGAAATGTCCATTCTGCTCTCAACAGTCATACCATTTAACACTGATAAAACCATCCTTGGGGCCGGACACGGAAACCAAGTGGGCAGGTCTGTCACTCACACTGACAGCATTTGGGGTCAAAGAACATATAAATGAGAACAGAATAATTCCCAAAGTTGACTGATGTACTCAATGAATCATTTCCCATTTCTTACAAGAGGTCCCTATTTCTTCCTCTGTGGAGGTCCCCTGTGGGGATCTACCCTGGTAGATCAGCCCCCAGATTCTCACACTTGCCCTCAGAATGAATCCCAGTTGAGCGAAGCCTGGGTCTTCCGCCAGCCCTCCCCGCCCCCCATTCAGGTGGGTCAGTCACCACCCTTCTGCTTCACAGTCAAACTTCAGCCCAGACAATAAACAGGAATAGGATAAAACCAGATGACCGGCCTAAGATTCTGTGCCTGTCCTGAAAACAAAGGGAAGCAACTAAAACTTGGTTTGGGCTGAAAACGGACTTCCAACCTCCTCTCATCAGAACAACCTCGCAACAGTCGAACAAGAGGCAACCTCTCTACTGAGCATGCCTACAGGTCTAACCTAGTGATTTTCCCAAATTAAATACACTGCACTGATATATTTTTTTTAAAGGCCAGCTGGATGGGCCCCTCCCATAGAGCATCCACAGGAACATAAGCCGCATAAAGGCCTCTGACTATCCTCCAACAGACAGAGAAACTGAGTCTTGGCCACCTTTTCTTCAGTCCTCCCACCCCTCCCTCCCTGGGCACTGTGCCTCATCACACATCAGAAGTCCGTATGTTCTCATCATCAAGGTTGAACATAAATGGTTTCTCCTTGGGGTGCTGGGGCTCCGATCGGTGCCTTATCCGGGAGCTGGGCAATACCCCCGAGGTATTGCTCTCCCCAAGTCGAGACGTGAACAAAGAGTCCTCAGGAGTCTCTTCAGCTGGATGTAGCTTTCCCCCAGCCTGGGGGACAGGTGTCCAGGGTTGCCAGGAGGAAGCCACAGAGGGGGCTTTGCACAGGGCTCTCTTCTCTTCCACAGGTGGCCGGCCTCTGCAGAAGACAGAGTTCGGCCCACCCGAGAGGCTGGAGTTTCCAGAGCGAGTCAAAGAAATGGATCTCGAAAAGGACATTTCCTACAAAAGTAAAATGGAAGGAAAAATGAAGGAAAGTAAGGGCTTTCCTGACCATGTCTATCCCAAAGCCCCAGGAAGAGTACCCACCCGGAATCACCAGCTTATAGGTCCAGAGACACTTGTCTACAGAAATCAAGTATGTCCAGTGGGATTCACTCCAGACTTGTCAAAGTCTGCCCAACAGGGAGATGTGTAGGATACACCAGACACTGTTTCTCTATCCACCCCTACCTCACCTCCTCCACCAACCAAAATTAAAAAATCAAAATGTGTACCCAAGTCAGTCAAAAGAGAAAAACAAACAAGACAGCCTGGGGCTTCAGTTAGGACCAGGCTGCCTGCCTACATCACCAAATAAAACCTGCCCACTCACGGGCAATCACCTCCAAGTTGACAGTGACTATGCAACAGAAAGGAAGTGACTTACTCTGGGGTGGCACTTGAGGGCCTGAACAGCTGCCCTGATCTCCTTAATCCAGCTGTGCATGTCTTCTGGACTGTCCGCCTGCAAAATACCCACAGCACTTACATAGATGTTTTGGGCGCTATGATTTCAGCTTTTGAGTCTCTGACTCAGTTCTAAGTTCGTAAAATCAGACCATTAGAGCTGGAAGAATCTCAGAGATCATCTAGTCCAGTGGCTTCAGACTTCTGAGGACATTTTTTCCTGTAAAATCACATCTGACACTTCATAAATAAACCAGCTCAAACTGGAGCTGCTCTGTGGAGGGGCAGAGGTCATGGGGGTGGTGAGAGAGCTTAGAGGCCCATCCCCTGTTGAAGTCCCTTGCCCCCTCTGGAACACAATCGACCTGGTCCAGTTTTATAGAAAATTTTTTATAGAAAATGAAAATGAGGCCCAGAAAGCCAAAGCTCAAGGTTTATGTCTTGTCTAGATTCCAGTTCTCCTGCCTCCCAATGCAGTCCTCTCTCCACTACAGATACCTGAACAAAATCTTTTTTAACTCGTCCCATTAAAGACAAATCCTCTGCAAAGCCTCCCAGATATGTATTACCACAAAACAGGGCTTCTCGCAAAGCACAAGCTACCTGGGTCTGTCCTGACTCTCCATCCAGGCCTCAGAGTTGCTAGGCTGGGAGCGCTAAGTTTAACAACAAGCTGAGCAGTTAAAGTATTTCCCCCAGAAATACCTACCAAGCCCAGAAGAGGGCAGCAGCGGCTTGTGAAAAAAAGAAAATCTAGAGGCAAAGCCACTGCAGGTGGAGTCCTTGGAGTTCTTGGCATTTTCCAGCTTTATAGAGGCTGAGTTCAAGCGAACCAAGCAATTGTTTACTGAGGCCTTACTCAGTATTGCACGTGACATCAGGTGCTGGACGCAGAGATGGGACCAAGACTGAATCCTTGACCTCCAGAAATTTATATTTGTTAACCTCTCTGTGGCCCCTGCACCTTCTCCAAATAGTTCCACCCAAAATCACAAGTGTGAAAAATACAAGCACACACTGGACTGCAAAATTCTCCACATACACCACTCACTTTCCCCATCCCCAAAGTGATTCTTTCTCTTTGCATTTTATCAAGCTAATACATGATCAGTTTTTTTCAAATCCTCAAACTTCCAACCCTGCCCCTTTCTGTCACCTCAAACCACTATTCTCCTTGGTTAGATGTGTGCAGGAGAAACTTGCAAGGGAAATGGTTTCACACCCTGCACACTGGGTCAAAAGCATGTAGCAACAAGTACCCAAGGGAACAGCTCTCTCACATGCTAGAGCTGCAAATTCACCTGCATCCTCTCTCTCTTGGACTTTTTCCAGTCATTTGACAACCTGGTAGTTCCCCAAGAAAAAGACAAATCCATCCCTAGTCCAAAAAATAACCAGAGCAAGATCTCCAAGATTCTTCCAGAAGGTATTTTACTAATATCAGAGCTAGCCTGTCCGCAAGTAGAACTATTGGGAGAATTAAATAAACTCTTGCAGGTAAAGCAGTTTGAACAGTGTCTGATACATAGAAAGGGCTTGTTAAGTATTAGTTATTATTTTATTATTATTATTATTATTATTATTATTATTATTATTATTACGTATGAAAGGACACATATGAAGCCTTAAATTCCAACACTATAAATATGTTCACCACACTCTCCAAAACCTTTCCCCCTCAATCTGCAGACAGTTCCTACCTAAAGGATCAAATTGTTGGGATCAAATGAGAAATAAGGGTTATTTCAAATTGGAATGAGATGGAGGTAAATTGTCCAGTAGTAGAAAAGCATTTCTAAGAGATTTTCCTTCTAGGGAAGCAGAAGATGATTTGGTAGGGGGAAGTGTTAGAAGACAGAGGGGAAAACAGACATAGGAGCTGAAGGACAGACAAATGTCTCCTACATCGCATGGGGATCTGGGATTCTCATTAAACAAATTGCAAGATCCCCATGGTGACACTCTAATAAATCAGTTTTCAGGGCTGTTAAGCTCCTTCTGCTCCTTCCATCATCCTAGCAAATCCCCCATGTCAAATGTTACCCCCACAAGCCACAGGCCACCTACCTGATTATCCTTTGAGACCTCACCAATAAACTCTCACATGTTTTCTAGGAACTATCACACAACTAGCCTAGGTGTCTCCACCCCAGCCTCCACTTGGCAAGGAATCACTGAATCACAGAAATCTAGGAACCAACTGATTTCACATTTAGGGGCTCAAGCATAAGAATGAAAATTCTCTAAAATGCATTTAGGTAATTTCCAACTCTCCTTTAATATAAATAATGCTGCTATTCATATCGCTGTGCATAAAGCTTTTTCATACTTAAGATTTGTTAGCTCCCAGAGAAATCACTAGATAAAGAATATGCATTCCTTTCAGGCTATTACATTTGGCCAGAAATGTTTCTGGCCAGCTATATGAAAATTTCATTTGCCAACAATATATTTTTTTGCATGCACCCTTGCTAGAACTACATACTACAATTTTAAAAAATCTCTGCTAATATGATAGGCAAAATAATTAAATCTCTTTCTTAAAACATTTAGTAATTAATAGAGATGAAAACTGTTTGCTAATTACATTTCTTCCCTAATTCTCTAATTCCATTTAAGGTCATTTTTCTTTCAGATAACCTAGGTAGTTAACCTCGTCATGTTAATGTTAATAATAATAAACATCAGTTAAACATTTTAATGTTGAACTAATAAATGTTATTTTAAAATATTATTCAAATAGAAAAGCAGATACTGTAACTGATCCCACATGAGAAGAAATACAATATTACCTTATTGAGAACACAATTACAGTCTCTATTAGTAATTTTAAAAATGGGATCCACTGGCAATAAAAATTCAGTGAAACTTCAAAGATTGTATGCAAGAAAGATGGTGCATGTGTATATCTTGTAGGAAAAGCCAGTGCTTTGCCCTCATCAAGAATTCAAAATACCATAAAACCATATCACAAAGGTAGCTTCACGAATCAGAAGTAAAAAACAGAGCTGAAGTCCCCCCACCCCATGGCAAATCACTAAGACTAAAAATTGCTTACAAAGGAGACCGTGAAGAAAGGTGCCAAATTCATGTCTGTGTCTTTTCCTGCTGTGCTTAAATGTGTGCATTTGTTTCTGGTGCTTGTTTCCAAAGAAAAAGTAGGGTTTCTGTGCCTGAGGGCAGTTTTTGATGTGAGGGGAACAAAGGGCATTAAAACGAGTGCCTGAGCAGTCTGTGGTTTATCGCAGTCCAGTAAGCTTTTCATGAATATCTACTATGAGCCCAGCATTATAACAGATGCAGTGGTTTGAAGCAAGGAATTCTAGAGGTCATCAATAAAAAGCTTTCAATATCTACTTCTGCTTACTTCCACTGCAGCTGTCTAAAATTTTTAGGCAGCTCCTCCTTCACTCTATTCCCAACTTCTGCCCTCCCTTCCCAACAGCTAATAACCCCTGCCCTGTCCCCAAGAATCAGCCCATCTTTAGACACAGCCCTGCCACGTGACTGCATAGGTTATATATGCCACATAGTTCTGAGTGATGCCATGCACCTTGCAGTCTGCATTAAAACAAACAGTATCCAAAGAGTCCTAGCCCAACACTCTGCGATTCATTCCCGTGTGAGCCCTCTTAGTGCTACTCCTGTGCTGACACAGCCCTCTAATGCTGAAAACTGGGCTTAAGCCAAGTTACCAAAACCAGACTGCACTACATTTCTCATTTCAAGCAACTAATCCTCCTCTTGATGAGCTACCTAATACCCTTGACCTTCTGACTGGAAAATGGGGAAATGGGGAAACCTTGTTTGCTTTGTAGTCCAAAGACTAAAATCTCACTGCGAACCCTTGTTCAGAAGTGAGAACCGTCTACCTGCTGATGAGCTTGCCGGCATTACAAGATTAGATACCTGATTCCTGCCAGATTCTGGATCTTTGTCACCATGACCCATCTGCCAAGGCACCTAGTTACCCCAAGCTGGTCCTCCCCAATTCAGAGTTGGACTACGCTCTGCACCTTGGGTTCTGCACCAGGCTGCTTATAAACAACACAAAAGAGTAGGCCTTGTTCTAGCATCTGGTGCCTCCAAATCGCTTCCGTAACTCACCAGGTTTACGATCTCAAACAATTTAGCTTCAGACACTCCACTTCCTCATCTGTAAAGTGGAGATGACCTCAGAAACTGCTGAGAGTGAAGTAATATGCTGCCTGTAAATAGCTTAGCAGTGTGCCTTAGAATATCAAAGTGGCCAATAAACAGTATCTTTTTATTAACGCAAAAGAAATACTTCAGTGTGAGAGATCACACATGTGACAAGAAGGTAAATGACCAACACCTAAGTAGTTGGAATCCAGCCCCATTCTGTTGCCCAAGTCTCTCTCCTGTCCAACGAGTTTATTTTCTCTACATAGATCTCCCCTGCTCTAGATACCGCGGATACATGGTTCTTTGAAACAGGCTGACTGAGCATGAAACCTTAGGAAGCAGATCTGAATGCCCCTCTGGCATGGTGGCAAAACTGCTGGCACCAAACTGTATGAATAGTCACTATATTCTTTCACTTTCTTCATAAAACACGATTTTACCTCGAAACAAATGACTGACAGAAAAACTGTCAGTCCAACTTATTCAGATTTAGGTATAGGACAAACTCTTTTTCAAAACTGAATTAAATGAGCCCGTTATGTGAGGAAGACCATGAAAGTATTTTCTTGCATGTGATGAATTCTGAGCTTTCAAAGCAAAAATCAGAATTTCGGAAAACTTACACGCACCCCCATGAGCTTGACAGCTTTCCATACTTTGTTGATGATACTGACGGTGATACTGACAAATGTGATTTTTTTATATTATGTAATAAAATATGTCAACAAGACCACGATTTTCCAAGTGACCTACGCACACAGTTACAAAACCGTGCATTGGTAAAAAGGACTCACTCCGAGGGAAAAACTGACCAACGAACTTTAACGTAGGAGCATGAAAGTGTATTATTACTGACTTCTGACTCCACACTGTATCTAAACATAAAGAAACTACCTACTGTGTGCCAAGTTTTGGTATAGAATGAAAGAGGAATATCCACAATGATCTGAAAAGGCCACTAAAATATTCCCTTTTTTCCAAACGCACATCTGTGCGGGGCCAGATTTTCTTCATATTCTTCAATCAGAACAACATATGGCCGCAGACAGAATGCGGAGGCAGGTGTGAGGGCCCAGCTGTCTTCTCTTAAGCCAGCCATTAGAGAGATTTGCGAGAACAAAAAACAATGCTACTCTTGTTGCTTTTTTTTGTTTCAGAAATATAGTTCTTTTTCATAAAAATGGTACCTGTCTTAACATAAATGAGTTTACAGTTGCCATTTTAAAATAAATTAATACATATTTTTAATGATTTTCAATCTCTACTCTTCTCTAACCTCGGACTCCTCTTTGAGTTAGGTCTGACAAACGGACCTGTCCACTCGCCCATTTGTTTATTCAGGGTGATGCGAGTGTTCTTTCAGCCCAGAAACGTGGGAGCAGAAGGCAAAGGATAGAAGTGATGAGGAGCTTCTGGTAAACGTGCACACACTCATGCAGATGGTGCGAAACCCTTCCAAGGTGTTTGTTGTTGTTGCTGGAGTTCGTGTTTCCCAAAGCTGAGTCCTAACTCTCAGCCAGCATGACCATTCGCTTGACAATGCTTATTGAGTAGCACCAATGTGCCAGGTGCTGGCTGCTAAGGGCCTTCATATCATGTCACCTTGGATGTCCCAGAGACATGGTGAATTCAGAACCATCTCTGCAAGGCTTGCCTGTTTCCCACAGTCCCTCCACCCGTGCTCCTACTACCACAGTGCCTGCTGCCTTCAGCCACCCTTTCTCCTTTCACCCCACATCCAACCAACCATCAAGAACTAGAAAGGAACGCTTAACAGCCTTTACATTTTCCACGTTTGTCCATCCACCCTAGTTCGGGCTTCCTTTTATCCCTCACCTAAATTACGACAATAGCCCTGGCCAGTGTGGTTCAGTTGGCTGAGTGTCATCCCTTGCACCAAGAGGTTGCCTGTTCAATTCCCAGTCAGGGCACATGCCCGGGTTTCTGGCTTGATCCCCAGTAGGGGGCTGCAAGAGGCAGCCGATCAATGTTTCTCTCTCTCTCTCTCCCTTCCTCTCTCTCTAAAATCAATAAAAAGTTAATTTAAAAAAATTTTTTTAATTACAATAGCCTTCAAACTGGCCTACCTCCTGTCTTTCCCCTTTTCTCATCAGTCCTCTACACTGTACCCAGCCAGGCAATTCACGGCCAGGCATACCGCTCACTGCAGGGGTTTGGGTTGAGGGCTATCATCTGTACTATACCGAAGAGGAAAACAAGGCCCTGAAAGTGAGAGCACCTGCCCAAGCGATATTTTTAGAAGGCAGCTCTGACTGGGTCACTCCCCTAGTTCAATGTCCAGGGGCTCTAACCCTCAGCATAAAAGAGAAACTCTCTAACAACGTACAAGGTCAGGGGCCCTGGGTATCTGCTTTCCCACCTCCAGTATTTTCTGAGCTCTTTTAATCTCCAGGCTTTTTTCACATGTGCTGTTCGCTCTGCCTGGGCCTCTCTTCCCCCCAACTTACTCAACTAGATATATCTTCCCTCAGGAAACCTCCTCTGACTCCCTGAAACTGGGGGTGGTGCCCTTCTTACGCGTTCCCATGGCAATGACTACTCAGTCTAATGGTAGCATTCATCACACTGTTTTTGTTTTTGTTGTTTATCCCCCTAACCCACCAGTGAGTAGGCTCACACTAGTGATAATTTAGCTTCTTTTGTCATAGTCTGCATTCCATGCTGGGACCACCTGACCTCCTAAATGCTTTTGCAAACCTGCATATATTGAGGTTTACACTTTGTGCTGCAAAGTTCTATTTCATGCATCTATTGCAGTATCATACAGAATAGTTTCACTGCCCTAAAAACTCCCTTGTGTTCATCCATACAACACCCCCTCCCTCGCCCCATCACATTGTTTTAATTGCCTGTGTACTGGACTTTCTCCCTCTCCGGTTCAGAATCTGTTCTGTGTAATGCAATGTCCCCAGCATGAGGCAAAATGCCCAGCATCTGAAGATATTCTACAAATATCTGTCAAAAGCCAGACTTGGAAATACTTTTGTTGCACCTACAATTTAAACTTTGTCCCTAAATGGCAATGGACCCAGCTCTCACACCTCCACAACGCTTTCCGCAGCTCCCTACTTCATTTCTTCCAGGATGGCAAGTGCTTGTCTGAATGAAGGGAACCCACAGATGGCTAAGGCTTCCAGCTTGTCTGCTGGGTTCTGGCAGGGGAACCAGCTCAGAGGGGATGACTGGAGCTGCTACCCAACAAATGGGGGAGAGGGTGACCCCTATGGAAGGGAGAGTGACACTTGAAATACAGAAGAAAGGACACTGGGAACCCTGGAAAATGTTGGTTGAGGAGCCCCCTCATTTTAACCAACACAGGCCATGATAATCTTAATGCTAGAATGCAGCATTATTACGATGCTGCATGAATCAAGGCAAGGGCTGGGCTAGATACTTGGCCCAGAAAGTCGAGGCCCTGCTTGGAAGCCTGCCTTTCCAGCGCCTATGATTTTAGAAGAAGTTGGGAGAACTCCAAAGCTGTGGGTGGAGGGGAGAAGCCTCTGAGAGCCCAAACAATGGGTTTCTCTGTGCAGCTGGGCTGTGCACCTGGTGCCTGCACAGGGGCCTCTGTGCTTTTGTCCTTCCGCACACAGTGATGACCACACACGGGCGGAGCTTATAAATACCCTCCAAAGGAGAAGCGAAACCACTGACCAGTTCTCCTTTTCTCTGCTTAGCTGGCGCCCAGCAGCTGAGAGCAGCTGGCCCACACTCACATTCCCCAGTAAAGCACTCAACCTGCTCTTATTATTTTATGGTTGGGAAGCTTTCGGCAAACATCCTGTTTAGAATAAAATGGGACTCGGAAGGACTTTCAGGGGCTAAATTTACCAACAAGAAACTTCTAACGAAATAAAAGAGAAAGCACAGGAAAGGGCGAGGCCTATGAGTATACCATTCACAGAAATGGAACATCAGAGTCTTGGAGTGAGCTTTTTACCTGTACGTAGAAGGTCCTGGAGCTTGTAATGATTTCAAACAGGTTGTCCCTCATTAAGAGATCACTAGAGAGAGAAAAAGAAAGTTACCAAATGGCCAGAACCCTCTACCATAAAAAGAGGGCTCCCAGGACATTCCTCCCTTGGCCCCTGAATCATGAAACATTACAGGGCTTTCCTCTGGCTTCACTCCTTAGAGGGTCTTGGGAGGTTTCGACATCCCCCTGGAACCCCCTCCCCCCCCACATACACATCACCACCACCATCTCTAACAAGATACAAGCTCTTTCTCTCTGTCGGCCATACCCCACACCACCTACAGTTGTGGGTTTTGTTTTTAGTGGCTAAGATGTACGATGAGCTTTGTGCAGAGCACTGTTTTGAGTGCTTTTTTTTAAGAATCAAATAGACAAAAACTTTATTTTATATATATATATCTATATATCTATAGATATATAGATATACACACACACACACACAAACACACACACACATATATGGTGTCCCAGAAAAATGTATACACACTTTAAGAGCTGATAGCTCAATTTTGAAAATGAAATGTNGATATATAGATATATAGATATACACACACACACACACAAACACACACACACATATATGGTGTCCCAGAAAAATGTATATCTAAATATCTATATATNCAAAAACTTTATTTTATATATATATATCTATAGATATATAGATATATAGATATACACACACACACACACAAACACACACACACATATATGGTGTCCCAGAAAAATGTATACACACTTTAAGAGCTGATAGCTCAATTTTGAAAATGAAATGTATTTTAATAAACACTGCTTTTATAATTATTCAAAGTGTGTGTATACATTTTTTGGGACACCCTATATATAGAGAGAGAGAAAGAGAGAGAGAGGGGGACTTGACATATAATATTTTATTAGTTTCGGGTGTACAACATAATGATTTGATATTTGTCTATATTGTGAAATGATCACTACAATAAGCCTAATAAACATCCATTAACATACATAGTTACAAATTTTTTTTCTTGTGATGAGAACTTCTAAGATCTACTTTCTTGGCAACTTTCAAATATACAATACTGCATTGTTAACTATAGTCTCAGAGTACCCACATTGTACATTATATCCCCTGGACTTTTTTATTTTATAACTGGATGTTTGTACTTTTGGACCCCCTTTACCCATTTCACCCACCCCCACTCCCCACCTCTGGCAACCACCAATCTGTTCTTGGAGGAAACCCAGGCTCAGAGAGGCTACATGACTTGTCCATGGTACCGGAGTTAGTAAATGGCAGAGTGAGGATTTGAACGCAGGTCTGATTCCAGAGTCTATGCTTTAATTACTCCACTGTTTGCCTCTCCTAAGGGAATCAAATCTCTCATTTCCAAACCCTTCCTCCACCCAAGCAGCAACCCATCAGCTTCCTTAAATTCCTGCTCTGTGCCTCATTCCACGGGGCTGAGGGGACAGAGCACTAAAGAGGAGAAAAGGAAGGAGAGAGTAGATAACTTTAAGATGCTTCAAATTAGGTGTGAGTTTGGAAAGAGGGATCCTGACTTCTACAGAGAAGGCAAGAAGTAGCTGGTACTCAGTGACAAACCTCAAATCAGGTGAAACGATTTCCAATGTTAAATGTGTGTGTATCCATAGTAGGGGATATATAAGGAGTGAAAGACCTAACTCCCTCCCAATAAAAAAAAACAACAAAAAAGCTACATTATAAAATCTCGTGTTAAAGTGCGTGCTATATGCCAAGAGCTAGAAAAATTCCAAGAAAGGACTGATCAGAGGTGGAGTTGGTTTCGTGAATGAAGACTTGAAAGGAAATGGTAGGTTCTGGCCAGTAACATGGGCCCCAGGCAGAGGAGCATGAGACTAAACACCCACATGGAAGGGGACAGGGTAACATGGACCTCGGGCCAAATCTCGACTCCACTTTGGAGAAAGGTATTTTAGGAATAGTTTTAAAACTTTCTGAGCCTTTGTGCCCTAACTGTAAAATGGAGATGAGAAGAACCTCCATTAGCAGGCTAGTATATAAGACACCTGGTACGGCATTGTCATATAGTGGACACTTGAAACGCATTTCACTATTTTTATCACTTTCTGAGTTTCTGAGTAGAGATAGCTCTTACTTTCCAGCTAAAATGCTTTAACCTTTGAAACTATTCTTGCACACAGAATGTAATCATGGAATCAACCACTGAGGAGGTAAAAGCAAAGCAGGGGGGAACCCCCACCCTCTTCACATCTCAGGCTACATGTTGTCTTTCCATTCAACTCAACAAATGTTGGTTCATGACCCAGATGCCCCAAAGCCCTCTGCCTGGGTTAGGGAGAGGACACAGTCTCACAGGCCTAGGCTTGGGGACTTCCTTCCGGTATCTTCAACCCCCTTTATTCTTTTACTCAGAGTTCAGTCTGACTCTGACAGTCAGAGATTTAGGCAAATTACAAAGCACTCTTTGGATTAAACCTTATCTGGGTTCTCTGAGCTGCTCCAACATGCCCACGTGGTCACATGCCTAATCTGTACATGCCGTCTAGGGTCAGGAACCACTTCTGAGGATCTGGTCATGCCCAATCTTTCCTCTACCCACTATCAACCTCTGGAGCCACACTTCTGGAATCCCATCTCCAACTACTTTCACGAATGATGAACTGTCACTGGGAATTTCCCTGATCTTCTATGCTCTGCAGCTCCATGTGCAGGTCCCAGTGCAGGGCTTCAGTCCTGCTTCCCTAGGTCACACAGCCCTTTGTGTTCATGCAAGACCCTGCCACACCTTCATTCCAGAGCAGTCCGCCTGCTGCTGATAGATTCCCTAGTGATGCTGGCTCTACATGCCCCAGCCATGGGATGGACAGTCCCTAAAGACTGCAGATTCAGGGCCAAAATGAGGATTTCTAGATGTCCAGATGCCCTTGGGTTTCTCAAGCTTAGTTCTAGGAGTATCTGTTTTTGGTGTTGCATACAGGAGAGCCCTTACCAGGTCCACAAAACATCCCACAACCCGTGACACTTAGAAGGTAACCATTTCCTAGTGGAAAGAGGAACACATTAAAAATACCTCCTCTTCCTACCCAGTGGGAGTGACAGAGCTGCTGTGAATCACCCTTGTGTGAAGAGGTATCAGGGACTTGTGAAAAGGGAGAGAAAAGACATAAGAAATTCAGGGAGGCCTGGATGCTGTGGGTCAGTGGTTGAGCTTAGACCCATGAACCAAGAGGTTACCAGTTCAATTCCGGGTCAAGGCTCATGCCCAGGTTGTAGGCTCGATCCCCAGTAGGGGGCATGTAGGAGGCAGCCAATCGATGACGTTTCTCTCATTGATGTTTCTATCTCTCTAGTTCTCTCCCTTCCTCTCCCTCTAAAAATCAATATTTTTTAAAAAAAAAAAAAGAAAGAAAGAAACTCAGGGAGGAGGCACTGGCATAAGCAGTGAGCTGACCAGAAGTACTGCAAAATGAGTGACTGAGGGCAGAGTGCCCCTCTGAGCCCCAATCCTCCTGTGGGATGAGCACCTAACTACCACTGAGAAGCATCTCAGCACCACCCTCTTCTTTGTTCCCACACTCTTTCTTTTTCTCCATCAGAAAATTATTAGATTTTTCTAATAATACAGGCTCATCTTCTCAGGAGCAAGAGTAAAGCAATGGGTAGAGGGTGAGTTAGGCCCAGTGACCTCACATCCACGTCAGCTAGGATGTGGTGATTCAGCCACGAGACCTCAGGCCCGGAAGAAGACTCTTGAACAGAGCCACAGAAGGGTGGTAAATGAAGATTTCAGAGAGCAAATGAGGATTTTGATCCAAAAAAAAAAGCAAAGACAATTACCCAGATTTGACCAGACACTCATGTGTCTTAAGGACATCCTTGAGAAATATAGTACGCAGGGGTTCTCGATCCTGGGGGAAAAAATGGAGAGATAGGTAAGTAAACGAGGCTGTCCACACGATGCCACGGCCCAGATCAGCTGACTGACTGACGTACCTCTCTCAACAGAAATGGTCGGCTAAAATCAGGTTGCAAACAAGGCAGTCTCAAATTAATCAAGAGAGGAAAAAAGAAACCTAAGAAGATGCCCTCTGGCTCTAACCACAGAACAGCACTGCACAGGAGGGAGGAAGCTCGGGCCACTGTAATAGCACTGTAATATGAGCACACAGGATGGACAGAGATAGGACAGAGGCACCTCGGGAGTCTGTGTGTGCTCACGCTTCTGTGCATGCAACCCCCATATACACACTCAGGGGTCATTCATGTTCCTCTTCCCTTCACAACCTCTCAGAGGGCCCAGCGCAACTACAAACCTGCTCACACTTGAAGTAGCAGATGGTAAAGTCATCGAGTGCGAAGAAGCGACGTTTCCAGCTCTTCCGCTGAAATAAAAAATAAAGAGCGGGATATTAGGACGAGGCCCCAGCTTTCTGGAGGGCACTCTCATTGTCAGCTCCCAGGGTCACAGCCCCCTGGAAGCTGGGCTCCCACATTCAGTTGGGGCAAAAACTTCTTCCTATCAGGGCAATGCCTCTGACTTGTGGGGGCGGTGAATTTGTGGTCCCAAGCTCCTCGGGGTTTGGATGGTGGCCCAGAGCACTGCAGCTCCTTCTTCCAGAAGGCTCTCCCCACTGCTACACCCACACCCACTAGCTCCGAGGAGTCACCAGAGACCTCTCCAGCCCCAGGGCTGATACTCACCACATTCCCTTGCTTCACACAGTAGCCGCTCTTAATGAGGGGTGGCCCAGTGGGTGCGCGGCAGCCTGTCGTGGGGATGTAACTCTGAGACCTCCGAAGGATGGCATGGGACCCTGGCTCACTCCCTTCCTGCCCATCCCCACCATTCTACAAGGAAACAGTGTCAGGGTTAGCACCTGCCTCTCAACCCCTGTGCAGCCTTACCCCCTGCCCCACCCCTACCCGACTCCCTCTGGCCAAGTCATCTCTTGCCTCTTTGCCCAAGATGACAAAGAACTAAACAAGAAAATAAACATTTCCTTTGCTCCCATCAGGCATTGTACCGAGTGCTTTCACATAAGGCTCAGGGACGTTGGGCAGACCCAGGAGAGAGGGAAGGACACAGAAGGAAAACCAGAGGAGCAAGGATGCCTCACGTGCCTTCCTAAGCCCCACTCCTCATGGGGTTTACAGGTGCTCGTCTCAAACCGTGCTGGCCACTCAGCTTCAAGCTACAGCAGCCCCAATTTCTGCACTACTATTACTTACATCTAGCCGGGCCCTGCATTTTCTTGCCCACCCCATCTGCACTGGCTCCCTCACTCCCATCCACCCTGTCCTCAGTATAGTCCTCTGTGCACATCACTGTCACACCAGGGACACTACAGACCGCTCCCCCTACCAGACCCCTTCACAACCCCAGGCCCCAGCACCTGGTTGATGGGCGTGTGGACCACCACCCCTCCGATGATCTCTGTCTTATAGGCCACCTGTGGCTTCTTCTCTAGGGCAGGGGGAACTGCTAGGCTTTTGAGAACTTCAGTCGTCAGGGGCACGTTCCCAACTTTGGGTACCTGGGAAGAATGATGGTATTATGGTCAACAAGGAGCAGAAGCGTAGGGAAGCAGGGAATCAGAAGCAGGATGGGGAGGGGTGAGAAAAGCTAATGTACTAAATTATACTAAGACACCCCTCTCCTCCCCAAGCCTTCCATTGATCCATAGCTGAATATGAAGAACTCTGACAGCAACCCGCCCCCCACGCACACACCGTACACACACACACAGTACACACTTACTCAACAAATGTACTGAGCCCTTCCCTGGCGAGAGACTAAAGATGAAACAGCAAATTTAGACACATATCCTGCCCTCATGGCACATACATGCTAGTAGGGGAGACTGACAAAAACTGCATAACAAAGCAATCAGAATAATTACAAATCGTGGCAAGTAAACAGGCTGAGCCAGACAGCAGCAGGGGAACTGCTTAAAACAGTGGCT